GTAAATACAGCTTAATACAGAGAGCAGCTCTCTTTAGCTGAATGCTTCAGGTCAGTTACAGGAGCTACTTCCTCCAGCTGTTCATCCATCAGTTCTGTTTGCATGTAACTTCTCTCTCTTCAGCTGTTTGCATGCCTCGGGTCAAACTGCCCGGTCTACCATTTGAGAGCTGTCGGCTTCTTTCCTGTAAAGAGCATATCCTCATATAAGGCATTCATACTGATTTAAATATTCATATCCTTAAAGCACACCTTACCAGCTGCTTCCTGCACCATTCATGTGCTACTTTGTACAGTACGTGTTGGCTGGCTTAGTCATGCAAAGGCAGAGAAATTAATTGCCTTCACAGAATATTTCAAACATAATTGAATTCTTTGCTCACGCTATCAAACTCATAGGGACTTTGATTACAGATGTACAATCAAGGCTGCCCCATTACAAAAAGACTTGAAAACAATGTCCTCTTAACTAGAGAGAAAATACCTCATTATAGCAGCCCCATTATCGCAATAAGGATGTTTTTGTCTTTTTACATATAGCCAACGAGTAAAGAGAAGCTTGTTAAAGTAGCTGAAATACGATACAGATCATTTGGTTTAAAACAAAGACTAAATGCAAAGAGTGATTGACAATAAGCCGATCAAATGTGGTTAAGAATGTAATGAAAACCTATAGAGTCTTGCCAGAAATCTTTGGTACATCTCTATCCACCTCATATCCTGTCTATTAGTTTACTAAAAAGCATAAAATGCCAAAAAATGCCTGCAACCCAGTTCAACTGTACACTCAGCATGCTGTTCAGAACAATACTGTGTGCGGGAGCCTTTATGTCCTCCCAAAAGCCTTTGGAAGGCGACAGCAAAGCAGGATGATTGTGGCACTCAGGAAGCAGCCTGCTCAAAGTCAGAGCAGCAGGATGAATCTTTAAAAGTGTGTTGAGCCACTTCTGCTGCTGGCAAACAAGCCGGGCTCCATTATTCAGCAGGGGAACTAGGAAGCATTTCCTCCTTATGTGGGAAGACTTGGGAGAGAGACAGACTATAAATGAGTGGAGTAAGAAAAGGAAAACAACAGCAGAAAACTGTTGGATAAATGTTAGAGAAGAGGAAGAGGGAGTGAGGCAGGGAAACAGCAGGATCTGATGAGCAGAGGACTCCCCGCTCACTGAGCTAATTGCCGTGATGGATCGGGCTTATTCCCCTGAGCACGGAGCTCCTGCAACAACGCCATGACTCTGCCAATCTGCAACTGTTAATACAGTTGTTGTTGTTGTTGGGAAGGCAGCAGCAGCCCACTCAGAGCTAATATTGTAATACAGCAGAATTGATTTCTCAGAGGAAATCATTGCGGGAGCACCCTGGGTCAATGTTGCAGTTGATTAGTAGAGGTATCTTGTCGAGGTTTTAGGGAGTGATCATTTTATTCTGATTTGATTAATTCATCAGCTGGTTATTATGGCTTGGTTTCTTGCCTCTGGCACATGGGGATGAAGCTGCCCACGTGAAGCCATAGAATCTGAACAAACACTCACACAGGTTGCCCTCCTACTCGTTGCAGAAAGCAGGCACCCTCGCATTAATCAATACTCTCCTTAACGAGGCTCCCCTCCCAGCGCTTCAATGTGCAGACCCACGCAGGCGCACACACAGCACTTTTCTCACAGGGAAGCCCTGATGAAGTCACAGCAGCCTCCTGTCCTAAAATGGAGTGTTGCGTCGGAGCAGAGCAGTGCTGAGAGGATGTTTCATAACGGAGGAGGACAGCCTCCGGGGGGAGACCCCTAGAGAGCAAGTCACGTGGTCGGGGTACCCACACCTAATCACACAGCCAATGCTAATGTACACAGAGCGGCTCGGGGGGGTACATTCACCACCTGTGCTTGGAGATGTGTTTGAAAGAGGAACTGGAAGAAAACGCTACAGTCTGTCACAATCCTGTCATGACTGCATTTTACAATGAAATAAAGAAAAGAATAAAAAATAGAATAGAATAGAATGTGTAGTAAATATAAATAGTATAAATTATGTAATTTATGTTACATTTTCCATGAAAGATAAAATAACACAAAACACAATACAATATTTATATAAACATATAAAATTAAAGTAAAAAAGATAATATGAAATAAAAATAAATATATTTATATAAAAATTTGAATTTAAAGTAAAATGGGCAATAAAAGATAAAATAATAAAAATAGAATGAAAATATTTATATAAACATAAGAAGTTAAAGTAGGAATGTACAAAAAAGATTAAAAAAAATATAAAAATTAAATTAAGATATTTATATATTGTATTATACATAAGAGTTTAATGTAACATTTCCAAAAAAATATAAAATACAGTAACAAAGATATACTTATATAGACACAAGAAGTTAAGGTAGGAATATGTCATATGAAATGTATATTATTTAAAATAGGGGAAAGAAGGATTTTCTGACACTTGCTCCATTTAAGAATGGGAAAAAAAACAATGTCCAATAAAATGTTAATATAATAAACATAGAAGTAAAAATGTGCACATTGTATTACAATATACAAGATGTATATTACAATATATACTTACGATACTTTGGTGTGTACCTCATAAGATATTGTGCTGAATTGCACAGTGTATAATGGAGGAAGTAGAAAGTGTGTGCTGTGTGTGTATGTGCATGGCCGCGTGTTAGAAAAAGCATTTGCTCGGCTTTACTTCAGATAAAAGCTACAGGATGACTGATCTCCTCTTAAAAGTGGGGCATCAAATGTGGCCTCGCAACATCGATTTGGGCTTCATCAAAATTCCTGTATTCCGTAATAAAAGAAAGGTCAAGAGCAAGAGGGCTCTTTTAGTGGAAGATTCACCTTCCTTTCTACACCTACACACACTAACAAGGTCACACACACAACCACACGTGTGAGCTCACCACACATTTCTACAGCCGGAAAACTTTCTGACATTTTCAGCAATTTGTAAAACCTCAAGGGGGCAGAGAAATAATGACTTAGACTAACTAACAAGTTACCATTGCCTTGACTAAGAAGTGATAATGGTAGAGAATGGGAGGGGGGGACTAAATAAGAAGTGTGAAATCCATAGAAGCCATCTTAATTAAAATCAGTGAGGAAGACATAATGACGGGTATGATGGCTTGTTTCATGTGTTGCTCGAAGGGGAAAATTAGCTAATGAGGGCCTTTCTCTCGCTCTCTGACTTCCGACTGTCTCTCTCCGTCATCTTCCCAGCTCTTGATCAGCTGGCCTTTAATTTCAGGCAACAATCAGCGAGTGCCTCCGCCGCGCCGCTTCCTCCCAGAACACACAGCTCTCTTTGGATTGCCTCCTCATCAGGCTTGTGCTGTACTGCTCAGCGGAGACACACACAAACGCAAACTGGTTGTGAAGAAATCTTGAACAAACCATGTATTGTAACCAATTTCTTATTTTTTAATATGCAAGTCTAATCTCTTTACTTTATCTGCACTTAAATCCTTCTCAAATAAAGGAATTCTGATTCTGATGTAAATGGTTTGCAAAGGATAAAATCCCCAAATCCCCCCCGAAAACACCTCCATTGGACTCCTTTGTTTACCTCTGTAACATATTGACATCAGTTTGTAACACTCACACTTCTATTGGCTAGTGCTCCAACACATTGTACATGATAGGCTAAGGGGCCAGACATCTCTAAGCGGTTGACCAATCACAACAGAGCCGGCCAGCTAACCAATCAGAGCAGACTGGGCTCTGGTTTCAGACAGAGGGTGAAAAGAGGTGCTGCAGCACATTAAAGCATGGAGACATGTCACAGTAGAGACACATAATACAAATGTGAACCTGAAAATGAGCATAACATTTCCTATTTAACATAACCTACAAAATGCTTCTGCTCTCACTTTACAACACGAGTGCTGCTTTGACATCCGTCCGGTCACACATACATCACAGATTCCTCCCTTTAAAAGGTTTACTGAAGAATGACTCACTAACATTTGCACAATGGCACATTGTATGGGTCTCATACTAGGGACAGGAGCAGAAATCACCGGTAATGGAAGCTTTTTTAGCTAAAAACGTTGCCGTCCTCCAGAGGGTGACATGAGCCGAAGCCACCAGGGTACGAGTTTTAAATTTAGCCCGGGAGGAGGAACTGTATAATAAGCAGGATAAGAGAATAAGTTGCACTGTGACCTTGGCTCCCTTTATAGATGACAGTGGCAACCTTGGGAAGGTGAGGAAGGAGATTGATGACGCCCATTTTGCTTAATGAGCTCACGAAAAGAGGAGGGGGGGGGGGATTGTCTCTTGCTGAAGGTACAAGAGACAAATGTCAGTGTGGTGTGCAGTGCAGCATCCTTGCTCCAACCTACCTTGTACACATTAATTATAACCGGAGAGAACATGAAATCTCCTTTTACTCTAAAAATAGCAGCAGATAAGCGAGTCCACGCATACATAAGGAAATATCCATGAGAAGACATCTTTTACATGACTTCATAAAGTCACCGAGATGTGTCAATGTGTTAACTTTACAAACCTCAAAAAATGCCTTCAGCTGCATCCTCACATCCTGAGTGCCTCAAACTGAAGTTGATGATAAGATAAAAAGGTCGCTATGGAAACAGGGTTTTTTTTCTTGATTTTTTCTGAAATGTGGCCACCATGGGGGAAAAACGTGAGGGAAACACGGAGGAAAGCAATGGGGGAGATGGTGAGGTAAAGCTTGGTGGAGGAAGTGAGAATAAAATCTGCAGGATTCTCTAAAAAAAACAGTGAGGGAGAGCGAGTGTGAAACCGCTGAGGCAGCTGGATGTCTCCGCCTGCTGTAGCCTGCGCTCATGGGAAAACATCTGACATCACACATCACATTAGGGAAGCGAATAAGGGGTACAAGAAAAGTAAAGAGAGAACATGCTTTTCATCTCCCTTTTTGATGTTCTTGAGGGAGAGAATGGGGGGGGGGGGGGGGGGGGCACTTGTGTGTCCTCTTTCTTTCATCCCGTCTCAGTCTTACCTGGAGCAGTGCAGTTCTTAGATCCTTCACTCTCAATTTCCTCCAGGCTGCTGTTCTCCACTTCCTGCAGGAGCCTCCTCCCTCCCCATCTCTCCTGGCCCTCGCTGCTGGGGCTAGAGACGTGGAAACCTGCAGGAGGTTTGCCACAGTGAAAAGTCAACTTCTAAAATAGATTCAAGGACGTTTCAGTGCGGCTAAAACCTTCAGATTGACGTTTTTAAATACACAAAAAATGTGAAGATTCTTCATCTTCACTGATTAAAAAACAGATTTTCTCATAGACTTTGAACACACATGCATACAAAACACCAGTTGTATCAGAAACTGTAGTAATGGTGCAATAAAAAGAATCGTACAAGTGCAATGCTCATTACACTGCAAAATGACAGTAAAAATCTACACTGTAAATAGTAAGAGTATATTTTTTTTACGAAAACATCAAGTCGTGCATTGTTCATGATTTAAATACAAAACGATATGTACGACCATGTGTACTTCTGAGCATGGAAAATCATAAACGGAGTCACAGCGAGGGTAAAGAGCCTAATATGAAATGCTGATTTTTTAAATGGAGTTTGGGATAAACCTGTATTAAGCAGAAGCATTATGTGAGCTTTTCAAATAAATTGTTAGTCTATAAAATGTCAGCAAAAAAAGAAATTCTACTTTTCAAATTTCAGGGTTTTGTCTTTTTTTTGGCCATATCCCAAACATATTTAGTTTTCTTTCAATAGCATTTGTAACACTTGAGAAGCTCAAACTAAGAAATGTTTGTCATCTTTGTTTGAACATGTAACTAAGGGATTGAATTAATTTGATTGCAAATTAATTTTCTGTTGATTAGCTCATTTGTTCGTTAACTACATCCGGTGCCAACTTTCAGTAAATGTATGAGGACACGATCCCTTCTCAAGGTAAGACACAGATTATAACGGACATCATTTTTTTGGGTGTAAATGAATGATTATTGTTTAGTTGAAGAGTTTGAATATTTCAAATGTTTCGAACATAGATATTGGACATAATGACACCAGGGAATATTTGGCTTTTTTTCTTTGATAAACAATTTATCAATCACAAATTGCATTTCTCTGTCAATCAAGTTATTGATCAATTGTTTGAGCTAAAGTGTATTTTAGCACATTAACATATAACTAAAGTACATTTTACTATCATTAATAGAGTGGTGCAGTGTTGACATTTGTTTTAGGCTGAACCGGAAGTTGACATAGCAAGGGCTCCCTCCTCAAAAAGCAACGGGATGCCCATCATCACCGCTAAGCTAAAAGCGGCTAATGTTTGGCATTTAGCTGTCTCATTTGGCCACATGTTAGCAGCCGCCGTTTTAATGTCACATGGAAGTTTCGGACATTTACGAGTGTGGTATTTAATAGACCTTATTTCAGGTATCAAAACCGTGTTCCAAGAAACATTGACTTTATGAGGAGGAAACTGGAAGAGGTGAAATGCTAGGTTTGTTATGCTAGTAACAGCTAAAATAGTATAACTAGCTACAGAGGTACAGGGCTAACTTATTTCTCTGTTTAAAGACTCATTCCTGAACCAGTCTATTGGACCTTTTTCTCTGTATAAGTTATGGCGCGTTTCCACTACACGGCCTCGCTCGGCCCCGCTCGGTATGGCTGGGCCTCGTTAGGACTGGCTCACTTTATGGCGCATTTCCATTACAGTTTAGGAACTGGGGCAGTATCTATAGTAACGCAGTGTAGGCGGAGCCGTGACGTGATCTTCAGAGGACCCCAGAAAAACAACACAGCCGTTAGCTGTTAGCACTCAGAGCTCACAGCTCCTCATATATGTTCAGAAACTAGACAAAAGTTAAACAAGTACAAACCACAGACTGCCTGTGTCATGGTGAATACAGTTGCTGCTTTATTTATGTCTGTATAGGCCGTTGTTGTGAGTGTGGACGGTCGGAGCATATACTGCGTTAGCTTAGCCAATCTCCATTTAGAAAACAAGCATTTTAAAAGGTTTTTCCCCTGCCGTCTGTCTGCAGACTTGACAAAGCATTAATTCATGGTTTTTACTAACCGGTATCAGTATGTTGTTACTTCGGCATCATTTTGAAACGTGTATTACAATTAAATCATGGTCAAATATGTCCATCTTGTTGTAGTTGTAGCCCCCTTGCCAGCGACGCTCTCTCTAGTTTAGCATACTCAGCCCGACTCAGCCTCGTTGTCTCTGGCCCTGGACCCACGATTTTATGAGGCCAGAAAAACTGTGAATTAGGACCCGCCGGCCGGTACTAGGCCAAGTGGAAACGCAACCAAAGACGGGCCGCTGACGTCACAGCCCTCTTAAACCGGGCTGCGCGCTGTAGTGGAAACGCGCCATTATATGCAAGTGTTGCAGGTAGAGAAGTGCGTGTCAAGCAGTTTGTTGTATTTTTCATGCACACGGTTGTCTTCTCTGGCACATTAAACTTTGATTCTTTATGTAATAGAAGTGAACAGCTGCAGGAGTGCACCACAGATGTGTCATTTCGGTGTACCCTCCCTCCACCCCCTCCTAATTCATACATTGAAGGGGGAATTTCATGATTTTTTCCAAAACAAAATCCTCTTGTGGGGGCGGAGCGCTCAAAGTGGGGGGCTCCCACTGTGGCTACATCTGCACATTCTTCGAGTAAGCAGCAACACCAATGAATTCATTTCATACTTCAGAGAGCCCAGCAGGAGCACGGCGGCCTTTTTCACCCTGCCAACCACAAGTCTGGCCGAAGAGAAACAGAATTAAAAAGCCCAGTTATTCAATGGTCCTCAGGGCATGGCTGAACTTCTCACCTGGCCTCACCTTTACTACCACACACACAGCAGCAGGAAGGTTTGCGTGCCAGCGCTCTACTTCTCCCTCCCTCCTTCCGCTATCTTGCACATGAAGAAGAGGAGTGTAGGAATGATTAATGCACCCTGCGAGGAGGCGTTGAGTGCTTCGCAACACAAAGCTCAATTTACCCAGAACTTCATTAAGCGCATCATAAATAATCAACTTTAATTTATATTCCGGCAAAGCTGATTAAGAGTTAACAAGAACACAATGGGGACACGGGAAATGCATTAAACGCTGCAGTGTCATCCCTCGTTCGACTCTAATGTTGGGCACATGCAGAGAGCAGCACTGTTGCACTTCCATGTAATACGCAGTGAGGAGGAAAGAAGGGGGGGAAAATCGAGTCCCACTGATGATGCACAAATCATGAGTGTATGAATATTCATGCAGGCCTTCTGTCCATAGAAAGTGATAAATACATCTCACTTTGGCTCACGCTGACTCAAAGTGAGATGAGATAAAGGCAGAGAGAGATAAAAGAGAAAGAGATGAGAAGTCAAAGGGTGCAGATGTTCGCTGTGAGGAAGGACTGCACTTATCACGGTATCATCTGATTGCACTTGGATGCTTTGGCAATACTAATCCTGTCAGAACAGCAGGGACATCAAGTTGGAAAGAGACACTTTTTGATAGTGTGCAACTATTTGCAGTAACCTGTGTAGGTGTAGGTCTGGAATACCCTGGGGCTCATTGCCCTGATTTCACCGCTCTGCAGCTAGAACACCTGAACATACAGCAGTCTTTGCACCCAACCCCAAACCAAATAGTTCCGCATAGTTAAAGCGTGCACCTTTAGGACAGTATGGACACCTCCATGCTCTGAAGCCCATGCACGAGGACTTTTTAGGTCATTGGGTTCTGACAAGTTTGATCAGAATATGACTTTGCAGTCTTTTTTTATAAAGTCATGGACCTCTTATTCTTTCAATAACTACTCAATATATAATAATAATAATAACTCACACTTTTGAAGGATATGGGAACATAACTAAAGTACGATTTTACTATTATTAAACAAACTTTCATACATGACAACTTATCAGGCTTGTGCTGTACTGCTCAGCGGAGACACACACAAACGCAAACTGGTAAATGGAAATGAAGAGTAAGTGGTGACAGTAGGGTGTTTAAAGTAGCGTGCAATGTGTTTTCACTGTCTATACACTAATGTCAATGTCTGTTTAGAAGCATTATAGTCTAACCTGTGCGTTTGGGGACACACAAATGGCAGCTAACTGGAGAATTGTTACTGAGCCAAACATATACGGGGCATTCTACCGAATTAGTACAAAGTGTGGTCCCACAACAAGAAAAACTATTTAACAAAACAATTAAGTATTCAGACATAGATATTTACTAAGAATATGTTATGGTCTATTTACGGTGGCCGGCAGGTGCAAACGCGGAACAACTGCCAAAAACGCATACATAAGCAGGAAACAGCTGCAAATAATGAAATGAAAAACAAACAAATCCTGAAAACAAATACAACAAAAAAACGCTGCATTCACAGAAATGATGCAAACTAAATACAACACACAAACCCCGAAAACAAACGCAACAGAAAAACGCTGCAAATACAAAAACGATATGCAAAGTCAAAAACACATACAAACCCAAAAACACATACAAACCCAAAAACACATGCAAACCCCAAAACACACAGTGCTCCAGGCCTCTAGGGAGTGCGTTACGTGGAACAGATTGATGTCTGACCAGACATAGAGAGAACGAACGAGAGTGATGGAAATTGAAGCCGGAGGAAACAAAGTTGATCGAAGTGGACAAAGTCGATATATAAGAAGGTACGTTTTGTTTTGTTTTGATACAAAGAGCGTCATATTTACCCAGCTAGCGTTAGCTTGTTTGGTAAAAGAGCTTGCAAGTCGAGAGACAGCATTGTGCACCTAAATGTAACATCATATAGATATATTATAGGTGCAGAGAGGAGTTGGTTTATTGTGCCCCAATGTAAATCCTAATGTGAGAGTTAAAGGACGGTCAACAATATAATGTACCTTGGTCAGTTTGGAATTATCGTGGCATTTATTCTTAATTAAAGTGAATTTATTTTATTTCAGTCAGTCATTTGTGTGTATGCAGGTGTGGGACATTCCAAATGTTCAAAAAGTGAGCACTCCAAGAATGGACAACAGTTTGCCAGGGTAAAATAAAACATTGTCAACATATTGTGTGCCACAAGAAGCAGAATGTTTTAACAGTACAGTAGTTTGAATATATTTTTTGTTTACCTTTATCAGACCTCTCAGGCA